GTTTAACGTACGCGGACAAACTTAAGCTTCGCTTACCACCTAAATCTGCCCCGTGCCCGGTAACTACTGAAGCGTGCGTTCCTAGGCCTTGTGTTAGTGCCTATCCCACTACGGAACGCTTAGCGGAATATGCGACCTCGTCAGCAACGAAACAAGCTCTTATGAAGGCTATTAAACCGAGCGATGAGAGTTTCCAAATTGTAGGCGTTAAAAAAAAATCTCTAAGGCAGGCGTCGTGTTACGTGTAGCTAACGAACGGCAGCGTAAGAAACTGGAATCTGTAGACGCCATTAAATCAGTAGGTTTACGATTAGAAAATCCGAAAGGCCGAAAGCCCCGTATAATTGTAAAAGACGTACCCGGTTCTATGGAAGATCGTGCCTTCCTAACAGCCTTATACCGTCAGAATATCAAGGACGAATTAAAATTAAGTGAGAACGATTTTATTAAGTCAACCAAAATTGTTAGGCATCGTAAACTAGAAAATGGGCGTCAATGGATAGGCTTAGAATTGGAGGCAGCAGTTCGGAAACATCTAGCCAACACAAAAGATAAACTTTATATAGACTGGGCCACTTGTCGATTCATAGACGATATAGAAGTAGTTCGTTGCTTAAATTGTCAGCAATTCGGCCATGTACAAAAGTTTTGCACCATTAAAACTCCTACTTGTGCTAATTGCCGCACACGAAACGCGAGCTTGTCCAGATAAAGACACACCAAATTTTAAGCCCACGTGTGCACAGTGCAGGCGGTTCAAAAAACCATCTGACCATCGATGCGGCTCACACGACTGTGCCACATACAAATTAAAACTGGATCAGCTAATATTAAATACCAATTACTGAATAGTTTAATTCAGCTTAAAAAAAAAAAAAAAAGTTTATAGAGTACCTTACTAAGTAAGTAATAATATTTCGATAGGCCAGTTAAATCTTCATAACGATAAAATACGAGTAGCTACATAAGAATTAGACCGTTTAATTTTAGAACAAAAGTTAGACATTGTCCTTATACAAGAACAATATCAGAGCGCTCGCTTGCGTCGTAATGTAGTACAGCTTGACTGCCGTTCGCAGGCTGGGATATATGTTGCAAGTTCTAATTTTACGGTAACATCTTTGCGTAATCTTATGACGTCACACTGCGCCGTTGCTGAGATCTCTACCTGTACGGTTTACGTAGTGAGCTGCTATTTTCAATATTCACATCCTATTGATCCTCACTTACATCACTTACGTTACTTCTTGCAGTTCATCGTGGGACATAAAATTATCATTGGCGCTGATGTCAATGCGTCATCTTCATTATGGTATGGCAAGTTGCGTTCAACCGACACGGTTGGACGTTGTGCGGTTGAAGATTTCATTGCGGAAATGAATCTTACTATTCACAATACCCCCGATGCACCACCAACTTTTTGCAACCCAATGGGTGACACTTACGCGCGGCGACGTCTCGATATCCGGATGGCGTGTCCTCCCGGACGCAACCTGTAGTGATCACCGCTTGATCGTGTACGAATTCATACCAAGGGTTGCACGGTATCCACAAAGGGCTCCTTATAATTTTAGATATAAAACTAAAGGTGCGAACTGGGCTTTGTTTGGTTCACTATTTGCAACTCATACCAAAGACTTCAGTCGCAGTAGTTTATCAGCTGAGGAAAGCGCAGAAATACTATCAGAAACTTTCACATACTGCGCTGATGTATCTTTTGGTCGCGGATCTATCAAAAATACTCGTAGATGTGATTGGTGGAATGATAGATTAGCCGAACTACGTACACGCTACCGGAAAGCTCGTAGAACATTAAACAATTTTATAAAACATAACGTAACAAGAGATTTGTACATGTTATATATATATATATATATATATATTTATATTATATATATATTATTGTACTGTTATGTATGTGGGAACAAGTGAAACGCGTGCAGGTTGAGTGCGTACTGCCGTTTATTCGCATAAACAATAGTGTGCGCAGACACTATAGTCTATAGTGTCTGCGCACACTATTGTTTATGCGAATTTCGCGTTTCACTTGTTCCCACATACGTAACAGTACAATAATGCTCTCATTGCTCTTAGAGTTGCCAGGTCCCACTACAGAGCTGCAGTGGAAAAATCGAAGGGAAACTTAATTCAGAAACTTGTCGATAAACTCGATAGAGAGGGCCCGTGGTCACCTTTGTATCACGAATTTAAGGCAAATAGATCAATCGACCTTGCATACATACAGAACATCAAAATTAATAACAGATATACCACAGGAGTAGAAGAAACAGCAGAATATCTTTTAGAATCACTCGTACCTGACCATCGGCCGGAAAACGACACTGATCATCACCGACAGATCAGGCAGTGGGCCATCGAACCACCACTGTCTCCAAAGTCTGATTTACCATCTTCAGACGAATTTCTCGGTATCATTAGATCCTTGCCACTAAACAAGGCTTCGGGCGATGATAAAATATCTAACAAAATGATCAAAGAAGCTTGTAAACTTTTGGGTGACACGATTTTCACTGTCTTTAAACGTTGCATTGCTGAAGGAATATTTCCTCGTATATGGCGGTGCGGTAATATTCGTATAATACCAAAAAGTGGCGACAAGCCACCGGATGATCCTAAATCCTACCGACCAATCACATTGTTATCATCGTTAGGAAATCTTTTAGAACGTCTTGTAGTGCCCCGGCTTCTGCCAGGTGGAGTCAAATTTCATGATAGACAATTTGGATTTACGTTAGGTAAATCGACAACTGACGCTGTTATATCGGTTAGAAAGTTTGTCACATAGTCAAAATTTCAATACGTGCTGGCTATTTTCTTAGATATATCTGGCGCCTTCGACAACGCATGGTGGCCCATGCTGTTGCTGAAATTAAAATCACGGGGGTGCTTTAAAAATATTTATTCCCTTATATCTTCGTACTTTTCACAAGGTACTACTAAACTAAGACTTGGTCATCATTCTGTGTCGAAGGCGCCTACAATGGGATGTCCTCAGGGATCGGTGCTAGATCCATACTTGTGGAATATCGGCTTCGACGATTTTCTTGCGATACCAATACCATCCGGATGTACTCTGAACGCGTATGCTGATGACAGCTTATTACTGGTGGAATCTGATACTAGGGCGGGGCTTGAGAGATTAGACAATAGATGTTTGAACTTGATATCTCAATGGGGTGAACGTAATCGCTTAACTTTTGCACCCAACAAAACCTTCCAGCTACTTACTACTTACTACAAAGGTAAACTCAAATCACCGCCAAGCATTAGATTTGACAATGTTACTGTAAAAAACAAAGCCTCAGTGTGTTACCTAGGATTAGTTTTAGAAAGAAACTTTTCATTTATCGAACATATTAAAATAGTTAATGAAAGGTCTAAAAAGAGTTTCTGTGAATTGACAAGGATATCAACTGCGACATGGGGTCTATCATTTAATACATTTAAAATCATATACGGAGCTACTTATTTAGGTTCTATGTGCTATGGTGCACCTGTATGGGCCGATAGGGCGACCGTAGGCGCTGTCCGTCGCAAACTGTTACAAGGCCAACGACTTGCACTGATATTCTTGGGCAAGGCATATAGGACGGTTAGCACTGAGGCTTTGCCGGTGTTGGCGGGTGTGCTTCCGGTCGATCTCGAGGTGCAGAGACGTGCAGCCATGTACTATTCAAGACAACAAAACATGGAATGCGATTTTTTGGGCGCGCGGGATCGCGGTAAAATTGCAAGATTGCTTCAACAACAGTCCGATGTCTATAATGACCTCATAGACGAATGGCAACAACGCTGGGATGAATCATCCAAGGGGCGCCATCTTTACCAATTCTTTCCATCTGTTCGCGAACAGTTATCGAGGACATGGCTTGAGGTGGATCACTGTGTCGCTTAATTTCTTACGGGTCATGGTAACTTTAAGAGCAAGCTTTATTCATTTAAATTAGTCGAGTCACCATTGTGTCAATGCTCAACACCTAACTCTCACTATGAACAGTCTGCTCATCATATCCTCTGGGAATGTAGTTTTTGGTATAATGAACGTAATATAATGCTGAATACCTTGCAGGTGACATCTGGGGCGGTATACTATGGGGATTTTGTGTCAACTAGGGTGAATTTCCGTGCGTTTAGGCGATTCTGCCATACATATTATAGAAATCAAATATAGCTCACGTAGGACCCGTAATATTTTGTGGCAGTGGTGCTTCCCTGTTTAAAAGGGTGTATGCCCATTTTACTTCATTTTGTCTCCTGCTTTGCTAAGGAGGGAAGTGGATTTACTGTATTTCCAACTCCTCCAATTTTCTTCTGATTAATTTCGTTGCGGATTCCAAGACAGTTTAATTTCTTCCTGGGATTTCCCGAGTGTCCTAACTCGGTGTATCCGTGGGTCACTGCTGTAGATCCTGGTGTACAGGAGTTACAGTGGTGGGCGTGTGGGTGGGATTAGTAAAGCTAGTGTTTCCAGCTCGTATGAATGGTATCGTGATTCCGCGGGAGATGTACGTTAGCTAAAATAAGCAATGACGTGACGTTTATCGTTATGAATTTGAAATAAAATAGCGCCGTACCCCTCTGAACTTGCGTCTGTATGTAGTTCTGTAGGGAGGCTAGGATTAATGATTTTTAAACTCGGTTCATTGGTCAATATTGTAATTACTTTTAGTCTTATTTCTTCATGCTCAGGTTTCCAAATGAAATTGCCTTTAAGGGATGTTAATCTATAAAGTGGAGCCATTAAACACGCAAACTGTGCAATAAATTGTCTAAAATAAGAAGCTAACCCTATGAACTGCCTTAACCCTAGCTCACTAACCTTAATTTCGAGTAACGTTATCACTAACCATTCGTAAATTTTACGACAGATTAAAACTTCAATATATATATAATCAACTTTATTAATGACATTAAATGACCTTAATTACCAGTCTTCTGTTTCTTATAATTTAAAGAACAAATAAGTTTTTTGTAAATACCTACATAGAACAATGATTGCACATAGCAACAATATGCTCCCTGCAAATTGCTTTTTTGCAGACCTTGCAGAAGGTAGTCGTCATACGACGTTTTTTTGCAGGGCAATAGCTGCAAGTTTTGCGTGTTCTGTGAACCTCTTGACTAGTTCCTTCCAGATGGTCATCAATCTTCAAGATCTCCGATATGCTTTGCTTCAAGTTTCTTGGCAAAGTTACAGTTTGAAATCTTTCTCTCAGCCAAGGCTTGATCAGATCGTCAGCCATTTCAAATGCAAAAAGCCTTCTTTTTATTGTTTTTTTTCCATTTCTAATCGCATTGGAGACGTAGATTACATATGTATTTATTATAGACAGGTTCAGTATGTCGTAAAATAAACACAGCGGCCATCGATTGGTCTTGCGGCTGCTACTCATGATCGAGCACATTTGGTCCACAGTATCAACAGCACCTTTTGTAGAATTGTAAAATTCTATAATTTCTGTTTTTTTTTTGTGTCTGTATTAATAGCAGGTTGGTCATGTGTAGAAGAAAGAAGGTAAACAACCTTATTTGGCTTTGGTTTATATGACACCAACGTCAATTCTTTGTCGAAACCGAACACCGAAGTACCGACTGGTCTAGATCTAGTATTCGCCATTTCTTTGGGAATTTCCCGCTTGTTACTTCGTAATGTACCTACCACTGTGAGTTTATACGGTGGTTTCAACAGCTCTTCTGCTAGAGGAACCGAAGTAAACCAATTATCCATGGTTATATTCCGGTTTGACCCATGGTACGGTTTAGATAGCTCCTTCACAAAATAAGTTGCTAATGGCTCGCTACCTGTGTTCGTGTTTTTTCCCATGTAAGGCATTGCATTACACATGTACTTCGTACTAGAATCCGCCATCATAACAAGCTTTAAGCCATATTTGTTGGGTTTATTGGGGATATACATCCGAAAGGGACAGCGACCTCTAAAACCAACCAATTGTTCGTCCACGGTTATGTAAGAACCTGGTTTATACCATTTCCTGCAATTCCCTATAAACTTTTCCCAGAAATCTCTTATTGGCGCCAATCTGTCAGACTCCCTTCTCTCTTGCCTAGTATTCCTATCATCAAATCTCATACATCTCAGTATGAAGTCAAACCTTTCTGCACTCATACAGGCTCTGTAAGTTTTCGCATTTCTCAAGGTATCAAACAAAGTTCGAGTAGGTAAATGGTTACTTTTAAGAGCTGCAGATTGAATTAGTAGACCCAGCAATGCCTTGATTTCATTGGGCGACGTTTGTGAAGTAGTATATTTAGATGTTTTATATTTATTGCTCTTTATGTCAATTTCGACGTTCGTATACTGCACAATATCGTCTATCATTTCCTCCTCAACAAAGAGATGAAGTTGTTTTGGATCTGAGATTTCTTTGGCAATACCCGCAGGACCTGGTATTATGTGGAGCACATTACGACCAGCCGTATGAGTACGTGGATCTCTAGGTTTTGCAGACCATTTGTGTTGATTTTTTCCGTACATAAAATTCTGTCTCGGTTGGATGATTGATTGCTGCTGTGGTAGTTCCTCAGGACCAGAATCCATCTGATCAGTGCGAGATACCAGAGGCATATCATCATCGGAATCTACGACTAACCTTCGATTATGTCTGCGACGTGAAACGAAAAACTCATCGTCTGAAGAAACTGCACCATCCTCGTCGCTTCCATCAGTTTGGATGTGAATTTCCGTCTCCAAAGAATTGTTTTCTTCAGATTCCGATGACGGTGGTTGATCTTCGGGGATTGACTCCGTTTCAGAATCAGCTAACCACTGCGAAATTCTTTCATTTTGACTTCTCAAATCCATCTGAAAGTATAAATAACATAAAAATATACATTTCAAATCTATAGAAAACTACAAAACATCTAAAATTTCAAAAACACAGTAATTTATTATTGAGTATAATACATATTACGTCTAATAATAACAGAAATAAAGTATGTTTCTTTAGTAAAAACTATTTTATATTATAAATAAATAAATGCTGAACTTTGAAAAAAAGTTACGTAGTTACTAACCTTTCTTATTTTTTACGACGATCACTTGATATATTGAAACTTAGTTGACATGCAACCGCAATGAGTGTTTGCGGGTCACTAATGAAGCGAACTAGGAAGGTATTGTACGTGAGCGGGGCCGCGGGGGTGGGGATCTTACCGAATCACAAAATGTGCAAGGCTCGCATCGTAATTTTTACGAATGGTTATTGAGCTAGGGTTAATTGTGTTACTGATTCAGGGGGTGCTAATGAAGTGAGTGAATCTACCTTTCGCCTATTTGGTCTAATATTACCGTTTTCTACCTCATAGCCTAAGAACTCAATCCTAGATTTAAGAAAGGAGCATTTTTTTTTAATATAAAGAGAACCCGGTAAGTACTTCAAGGACTGTATTAAGTCTGACAAGTCCTTGTTCAACCGATTCAGCCTGAATCATGACGTCATCAACGTAATCGCGTGCCAAGCTTCCCAATGCATTAACTATAGCTCTTTGAAATACAGTGATAGCATTCTTCAAACCAAAAGGCATAGTCAGATATTCACACTGACCATCAGGAGTTATGAAGGCCGTACGCTCTATTGCCTCCTCCGCGTATTAAATGAAATCCACTGGCACAATCAAGTTTAGTAAAGAATTTAGCTCCTTATAAACGTGATATTAAATCAGTAATGAGTGGGAGAGGATATCTATCAGAAATAGTATTCTCATTAAGTTCTCGGTAATCAATACACATCCTATCGGACCCGTCCTGTTTTTTAACTAACAAAGCTGGACTAGCAAAAGGCGAACAGCTCGGCCTAATTATGTTTGACCGTAAAAGTTCGTCAACTTTATTTTGCATAACGTTACGCTCCTCGACCGATAACCTATAAGGATAGATAGATAGATAGATAGAAAACTCTTTATTTGCACACTAAATTACAGAGTTACAAGAAAGGAACACAGCTATCAAATATCGAGTGTACAAACGGCGGCCTTATTGCTAAATGCAATTTCTTCCAGGCAACCTTAGGATGGATCAAAAGTTGCAGAGAGACAGTAGTAGTTGAATATCTGCGTTTGTGAACCTACTATTACTTTATTATTGTCTACTATACATATTACATATACTACACATATTATATTATCTACAAACATTTACAATTTTTATACTTACATCTACAATGCATATCACAATAAATAAACCTACATATATATAAGTACCTACATACTATACCAGCAAATATACATATACACATACATATATATATATGCATTCTTAAATGAATAAACATATAGAAAAGAGAAACAGTTTCGTTACACCCTCAAGCGTTATGGACTCAATTAAGGTGAATAAAATTCCTGTACCATTTTCTTGAATCTATTTAATGTTTGCGCCTGCCTGATGTTAAGCGGCAGTGCATTCCACAAGCGCACAGCTTCAACAGTGAAGGATTGATCATAAAATTTGGTGGAATGCAGTGGCATCTCCAGTTGTAAACTTACGGATGACCGCAGACATTTTTCGTGTGTGTCATTAAGGAACTTGAATCGTTCTTTGAGGTAGAAAGGAGTTTTGGGATTAAACAAAATGTTGTAAAGGAAAATAAGGATATGAGTATTACGGCGAGAGCGAATTAGAAGCCATTTGAGCATTTGACGGAATTCAGAGACGTGATCGTATTTTCGTAAACCAAATACGAATCGTATACACATATTTTGTAGTCGCTCAAGCTTATCGAGTTGTGCTTCAGTGAGATTCAGATAGCTGACATCGGCATAGCCGAGAATTGGGAAGAGAAGTGCTTGTGCAAGCACAACCCTAGTTGCAGTTGGAAGGAACTTGCGTAGTCTTCGAAGAGAACCGGCTGAAGCAAATATCCTACGACTGACCTCTTGCATTTGTGAACCCCATGATAAAGTGTTGTCCATGTAGATTCCTAAACTTTTTACAGCAGTGCTTATCTCAAGAGTTGTGCCACCGAACTGAATTTGGGGCAGTAGAGTCCAGTTAACTTTTGAGATCAGCCTGGGGCTGCCAATAACACACACCTGTGTCTTCATAGGATTAATCATAAGTCCATAGTTATAACTCCACTCGCCAATGCGTTGAAGGTCAGCATTAATTATGTTGAATGCATCCGATAACATGTTAATCGGAGCTTGTATATATATTTGTAAATCATCTGCACAAAGGTGGTAGAAGGAACCTAGTTGATTAGAGATTGAGTTTATAAAAACAGCGAAGAGTAAAGGAGATAGAACGCCACCCTGCGGTACACCAGCAGAAATACTGCACCAAGAGAACATGGAGTCATCAATGCAAATCCGTTGCCGGCGACCAGACAGGTAACTATGAAACCCATCAATTGTCCTTGGAGATATGTTAAGAGACCGTAGTACGCCAAGCAGAATGTGCAAATCCACAGTATTGAAGGCATTGCTAAAATCAAGTAAGGTGAGAACTGTGATCTTTCCACTATCCATGCCTAGTATGATGCTGTCTGGAATGTGTAAAAGCGCAGAAGCAGTGCTATGGCCAGGGCGAAATCCGGATTGGAAGGGGTTCAGTAGAGAATTTTGGAGAGGAAGTTAGTCAGTTGAGAGTGGATGAGGCGTTCAAGTACTTTGGATAGGAGAGGTAAAATAGATATGGGTCGATAGTTAGAAAATGAAGAGGGATTACTTGGGCATCTTTCCATGCAGATGGAAAAACACCGCTTGTGACGGAGTGATTAAGGATATTGCATAGGATAAGTAGAATTTCGTCAAGGATAGGAATAATCATATTTCGGCTTGCAGTCACTTCCCACTGCGCTGGATGAGATCGCCAGAATGGTCCTCCTAACATCACAAGCGGACAACTGATCAAAGACGAGAGGTGGATAGTTGAAGGACGTCGTTGCAACACAGTCGTTGTAACAGTTTTGCTCAGATCTTTTAACCGTATCTCTAATTCACCTGTAGTAAAATGTGTGGTTGGCATACCGGTTATAAAATAATTCGAATAACGATCTAATATTTCTAAAAACTGTGATCTATTTTCAAAGGGTATATCTGTATCAATCCAACTAAAATCAGGTGAAGAGTTCTGGATAGTGTAGCTATTAAAAATATTGTTTCTTAACAATTGAAAAGTAGTACTTGTCATCACAATCGAAAATCCTAAATTCATTATTTCACGACCAATCATTATGTTACTGCGTAAATAAATATCAGGTAACACATGTTACAACAATTCTAATGAGTGCTCATTAATTGTAACTTCCACTAATATTTGTTCTTTTGATTTTACACTGCTTTGGCAAATACCAGTTAACGAAACAATGTTACAACTACGTCTTCCACGAAATTTCATAGCCAAACTTTCCTTTATTAGAGAACACTCGGCACCAGAATCATAGTGAAAAACATAAGACTCACCGCGATGTTGAAGGTATCCAGTAGGAGGTTGTACTACGCACAGGTCGACTCGACGCTCGGCCTGTGTATTAGCGCTTGTACTGCCGCTGCAGGTACCAGTTCCCGTTGTACAGCGGCTCGCCACATGTCCTAACGCTCCACACTTGAAACATTTAATGCTCGTTGGCTTATCTACACGATAAGAAGTAGAAGCCACGTTAGACTCCACAGGAGACCTTGCCTTATAGTTTTTGGTCTTCGATCTACACTCCGCCTGCCGGTGACCTAATTTCCCACAGCCAAAACATTTTGATATTGACTGTTTGTAGAACTTTATTCGTTTGCCATCCGATGTTGACAACGGCTCTGCTGCAGGAGCTTTTCGCTTTTGATACGAAAAAGCCTGTAATTCCTTTTGTAGTTGCTTTGGTAGTAATTTCCGTTGTTAATGCAAGCCGTTGTAATCGCGAATCGTGTTGAGAAATGTGCGCCAGGGCGGTTGCTATGGCGATCTGCTCTTTTGTGCAATCTTTCCAACAGCTCATTAAAGATGTAATAATCCGACTCGCACACACAGCTAGCGACTCGTTATCTTTTAATTTTTCACTGTATAAATTAATGAGGGTACCTGCACATGTATTTGTAGATATGAACCTCACAGTGAATAGATCCTTAAATTCCGGCCACGTTATCTCAGGGTATGATATTTTAGACAACAATGCCGTTGCGGTACCTTTAAGAGCCTTGCTAATGACGACAATTAGTTGGCCGCCCCGTGGTGGATTATTGTTGAAATAAATATCTGCCGTTGCACACCATGATCTCGCATCACTTTCTTCTTTATCGGGGTTAAAATCCGGTAGGGCAAAGCGACAACTTGATTCTTGCGGTTGCAGCGTAGAAATCAATGCCATCATATTTTGGTTCTGTTTTTCAATAAGTTGACGCCATAATTCTTCACTATTGAACGATTTCTCAGCCCGTTGACATCTCACTTCTGATATCGGAGAACCGTTATTCTCATGGTCACTCATTGTGGGCATCAGCAGGGATCCGGGAGAGAAATAAACTCTTCGTAGGGTATTAAATGATTTATTTCTTAGGTAGGTAGATTATAACACAAACTTACTCTTCACTTTAATATCACTTTAAATTATAATTACACAGTACAGTTCCTAGGCTAGTGTTACTGTAAACGCACGTTAAGAACGTCATCGCGTTGCCTCCCCACGCAGCCCGCGGCCCCGCTCTCTCGCCCGCCGGACAGCGCACACGAAGCACGTTGTCACTCATAACGCACACCATTGTAAATTTTTACCTTTTAATTGAATTTTTATTATAACATTATATAAATGTCAAGTGACTTGTGCTTAATTTCTGGAACCCGCTTAGAAGATTCCTAACCATTATTTGGTCCTTCGAGCC